AGTACGACCCACACCAGCACTACAGTGGACCAGTATAGGGCCCTTAGCAGAGGAACTCATGACACGTTTATGAAGTGTCATGAGAGGTGTGGCATACTCAGGTACTCCATGATCAGGCCAAGTTGTTAAGTGATACTGAGTGAGAGCATGAACCTCACCAGAGCCATCCTGTAACTAATGTAATGAATTTAATGCAATATGAATGTAACTTTTGCTTGTAAGCCTACTGTGACTGAGATATTCCTAATAACATAATCAGGCATTACATAATCCTCTAGTAGAGTGACAGAAAATGGACCAAACTGTTCAATCTCATTTAAACATTGAGGCCAGTACTGCTCACACTTAGTCTTTGAGTCCTCAACAAGATTAGTCAACATCACAACAGATGCTGGCTTCTCTTGCCAAATGAGACACCAAAAGTCAACAAGTGTCTTCTTCATTGGACCTAATATTAAAGTGTGAACATTTTCAATGTACATTCCATTAACCTTGTGCAGCAATGAACTTTCTAGCTTTACTATAACCCTATTTTAAACAAGAGAGACTAATTTGTTATTTCATTTCAAACAAAATATGTTTACATGAATGTAGCTTGCATTGATGTATTCATGTTGTGCTACACCCGGAAGCTTGAGTGTGATTATGTTATCATCATCTAAGCAGGAAAAACATTCACCATCTATATACTGTGTCTCAAACAAACCGACTCACAAGGGACAATGTTTCTGAAACGATTCAAAGGTTTATTCATTCCATTTAAGCCAACACTGCACTGTTTATCATTCCCTGAGTACAAGTCCTACACAAACACAAAGTATACAATAACAACAACATCTAAACACTCTATCATAATGTTAGTCTTTCAGTGTCTACTTTGCTCTTATTTGTCCTACTTCTTGTACTAATTACCTTAAATTGTTCAGAAAAGTAAGCATTACTGTCACTATGACAGCATGCTACATGATTCCCTAGATCATTCAATGATATTGGAAGTGTTTGTGGTATTTTAGGATCAAATCCTCCATATGGTGTTGGTTTAACAGGAGGAGCATGTAAATCAGTTATTGCATCATAGGTTGCTTCACAAATTTGAGCAGTTGTTGAATCATTGTTGTAACTCTTTAGTTCTGCAGTAGAGTGTTTCATTGACACAGTAGTATTACCTAATAAAGATGATAACATGAAGATTATTGAGAATAAAACACTTAATGAACATGACTGACTCCATTTTACAGGATTTAAATGTTTCTTAGCTTTGAAACAAAAGTTGCATTGTCTCAAGTATCCCTTGCATCTGCAAAAGGAGGCCATTAGCCCGTAACATATGATAGTTATGAAAAAATATTTTACCTCAGTAGATATATAATAATAATCACTGTAGTAACTGCAATCATTAATAGTATCAGTAACACTATTGCTGCTATTGCTCCTGATGACAATCCTTCATCTTCAATAGGATCTAAAATAGATATCAATTATACTTCTTAATTGAAATAACTCACAATCTAGTTTTATAATTATTTCAGTACTATTAACTGAAGGAAGATCTATATATGAGTACACACTGATGGTATAGGTACTCATTGGTGAGAGATTTGTTAATACAATTTCATCTTCACTGGTAGATACTACATTCCTGGTTCCACCTCCAGTAGTATACTCAATCACATATCCATTAGTCTCTGTTGAATTGGTCCAGTTCACTTTGATACTATTAGTATTTATTACAAACCCTGTCACATTATTTGGAGGATCATTAGGAGCTAGAAAAGAGACAAACGTATCTACTATTGATTAAAGTATAATCATACCATGTAATATCACAGATTGACTGTAGTTGACACCTCCAATCATTGCTATACAGGTAACATTAACTGACACTCCCAGTGGATCAGGATATACCAGTAGTGTGTTGTTGTATGTCAGGACATCAATTGATGTATACATTGAGCTACTCTTCATCACTTCATTCACTAACCAGTAAACATCAGTTGAAGGATTTATATCAGTAGTTGTGAGACAATCAATACGATATTGAGTGTTACTGAGTTGTGTAATGGATGAGACTAGTGTCCAATCGATTGAATAAATAACTAGACATACATCAACAATGTTACAAGTATATTAAAAGGTGCAGTAGAGATTAATACCTGTTGATAAAGTCTGTACACTGATTGTACTACTAGCAGGTCCCAGTAATTGTTGATATGCTCTGACTGTGATGCTATAAGTTGTTTCTATCCTCAGTCCATTCAGTGTAATTGTATTATTACTACTTCCCTCCACCTGTACTGTCT